TATGTACAATGCAGCTAATGTAACAAAGCCATGCTATCAAATTCAGTTGCCCTAGGCGTGCATCATAATTCACTGACACACACTCATGGTGTGCGCAAAGTTAACTTTGCTTCATGAGAGAAAACCATTTTCATTGGCAATATAATTAAACAATCAACTCATGCTTTAGCTGTGCATCGCAAAGTCACGATGCACTGATGGGAACTTTGGAGAAAACTCAAGAAGCTACAGTAGAGTTGCACTCCACCATAACTCAAGCAACTCTTATGTGCTTTGTTCTGTGCTTTCCAAATATCCCATTTGCGCGATAGCATGAGAGCTAAAGCATGAATCAGTTGTCAAGTCCTGGCCATGGAATCGAAGAAGGCCCATGGAACCAAACAGATTGTCATAGAGCAGTCTTCATTTGACTGTCAAAGTAATTGGTTTTGCATTTCTATACTACACAACTGGCTTAAAAAAACTGCTCACTCTTTCACCCAATCAGAAGTACATGTAAACCCAAAACCAATCATGACTTGCTCACACATCTTCCTGTGCTTCACCTCAGGTACATGCATTTACACATACCGGTAGTTCAAGTTTTGATTGCTTCCCGGTATTGTCTGTGTCTTTTGTGATTGGCCAGAGTGATAACTTTGGTTTTGGTTCAGTGGCACTCAATTGAAAATTACTCTGTCTAGTACAACACATTTAGTGAAAAGTTTTTTGAAAGTTTATCCTGATTTTTCAAACCTCCTACGGGAGTGGAAGTTGGTTTGAAAAAAACTGAAGCTAAATTTCCCTTAATGTTTTTGCAAGGGAAACGAAAATCTCTTGAGTGATCGGGAGGTTCAAAAACTCAAGGATTTGAAATATCGGGATACCACCATATTTGTATTCTGGTGAAAAATTATATTGAAACAACTCTGCCATCCCATCACAATAATTTGCTTTCTTCCATGTACAAGCAACAAAAAATCCAGAGTTGTGGACTGCAAGTCACTGATAACAATACAAGTGCAAATTTTGCAGAATTATCTTTGAGCAGCAGTTTAACCTTGCAAGCACACACATGTTACATGATTCCAGTGAAGATGTCCCTCTACGTTACAAATTCTAGACAAAATTAATACAGGTAAAACTTACACAGAAACGGTCACTTGAAAACGAAAGCAGTAAACAATGAAGACTCTTCAGATCTCTCGGAAATCTAGGTACTTTATAGTGAGTTAACATATTTATAAAGCTTAATTTTTAAGCTCCACTTTTCTATGATTTTCGATTAGATTAACATTCCTGCTTTGCTACAGATTAAATGTTCCTGATACACCGGCGATTGCAAAATATCTACAGACATGTACAGGTACCAAGAGATTTCTACAATCAAACCATTTAAGCTATACATTATTAAAGAAATTTGAGACACTAATATGTGTACATCTGTAATATAGGAAGACTCGATTAACACACTGAACCACAAACCTTGAGCATACGAACTTCTCTCAAGGCAATTTTCTTTATCAAAGGATCGTCCTCGGATTCCACGAACTTCTTAATCGCAACGATAGATCCATTTTCTTTATTTCTGCATTTGAACACCACGCCATACGATCCTTCGCCGATTTTCTGAAGTCTTTCAAACTTATCCATTTGCAAAAAAAAAAAAATGTCCGCCGTCTAATTCTCTACCAGGTTTTGTCGATTTCTCGTTGCCGTAGCATCAATCGATCAGCAGACGAAGTCACAGATTGAGATAAGAAGTTTACTCGAAGGCAGCAAACGTTTGCCCTAGAACAAAACCAAAAACATTAACTGTTTTCAGAGATATCAACACTATCATTAACGGAGCGTTCGCTTACTCTTTTACATCATAATCTAACGGCACGATCGATGCAAACACAAATCTCACGCCATTTTGAGTTACAGTACATTCAAACACAAGTTCTTTACCCTTTCTTCTCGAACCAACCATGGCGATAACACAAAATAACGCCTCCTCAATCACGATTTCCCATAGTCCAGAAGACAAAGCCGCCGACCTGTTACTAGGATGAGATCACAACACAATATTGTTAATCGAAAATACACGTTCTTCGTCGTTTATAAACTCACAACGAACCCGACTGTGTCGTGACGTACGGACCCCAAAGCACGTCTCCTTTTTAGGAAGTCACCATGACAGCAAGTCACGTGTAGTGCTTATAGGTCCGCATCCCGGGCAGATTTTCATCAAATTTTTCTCGCACATTCAGCTACAACTGTAGTTTTACATCAATTTTAACTGGTTTTTTTTTTCTTTTTAAAACGTGCGGTGGGTATATGTAACCTTTTTCATGGGATTTAAGGCCAAAAGTAATCCATCTCATCCCAGACCATTGATTTATTTTTCTTCATTCCAAATATTTACAACACAATCCTGCCAGTAGGCATACAAGTTGATTAATGTTTAGGGTGTACTATAAGAAATAAATCGTTCTCTTTGGTAGATGCGTGGCACCTAATATAGATATCAAAATTCAAAGAAAATGAAAATAGTGATAAAGGAGAAAATTTTCAAAACAAATAATTTTTTTCAAAAATCACCAACGTTCAGGAAGACGGAAAGGCCAAGCTCAAAACGTTTGTGGTTTTTCTTAAAATGACACTTTTTCCCTTTTTCTTATTTGTTGAATTTATGTACAGGTTGATTGAGTACCTTGAGTGCCTAAACTCATTTTTTTTTTTTTTTATTTAACCAAGACAAAATCACAATATTTTATTTCATTTCCTTTTTTTTTCGTTTTTTCATACATCTAAGAAAGCTCAGTTTCCATTTATATACGTACGCTTTGAACCTTTTTTCGTACTAAAATTAAATTATTTTTACATATATTTTGTAAACTGCAATATCAGTTATTTTACGAAAAACTGAAACTCGACTTAATCACCCAAACCAATTTTTTTTTTTTGACGAAAAGGTGCGTTAATTTAAGGATTCAGAGGACTCTTCTGAACTGATCATGATTAACTCTGAACATGAATAGAAAAAATATCTAGATGCACATTACGTTTTTTTGTATGGAACAATCAACGACCTCATATCAGTGTTTCCTTTACCAACTGAGTATCATAAATTCAAAAGCTTTTAAGATTTCAGCTGTTTCGTTCTTG